AAGGCTGAGTCCAACCTTGAGCCGGTGAGATTTGAACCGCTGAACTGCAGATGGCAGTCAGCTAAAGTGGCCTGCAGTACTGCACTCTAACCACTGCGCCACCTCGGCTCATCAAGAATTATGTCCCTGAAATACCAGGCAACAATGCATCTTTAGGCCTCTGCTGATTAGTTACTATGCTAAGAAGTGATGACTTGTAATCTCATTCTTTTAAAATGGTTTAAGTCGGGGCTTAACTTTGTTAAAAGGCTTTATGCTGAATTAAAAAGGATACCATGGAACTGAATTTCAGTGGAACAAATTGCTTCTCTACTAATGGGGTAATTTTTATGGGGTGGTGGTCACTGAGTCTGGAACCAGCGGACAGTGAAGTTGGGAAGAAAATTACATTGAGTTTTAGTTTAAGATGACTTCAGATCAGATCAGCATTTACACCCGCTGCTAACTTCATACAGGCAGCAATATACTGTTAATGTAGAATGCTGGGGACGCAAGGATTTGTGAAAAGATATCTAAATAGATCTTCTTAGCTTGATCACAACCAGGCTCATGCAGTCAACGCTTACTGGAAACTTCTCCAGAAAAGGAAAAATATTAAAGTAATACAATATCTGAAACTCTGATAACCTCTGTATTTCAGAGCCCATCACCATGCATCTTCAGATGCTGCTGGAAGTCGTCCCACCAGAAGAAGTTACTGAATGAAAAAAAAAAAAAGATCCTATTTTTCCTTCTGAAACAGGACAGAAACTGGATCCTCAAACTAGCTCAGTTTTGCCAAGCAAAATTTAGTGCTGGTGGTTTACGGAATATGCACGACAGTAAAAATCTTACAATATGTATGAAACAGCAAAGACCTTAACAAAGATTTTTTTGTTTCATATTTACCCTGACTTACCGAGAGAGGAGTCAATTTTTTGCATCAGTTACAATTTTAAGATTTATAGCCAAGCGTGGAAAAAAATCAAGAAAAGAAACAGGGAGTTTCCACTACTAAATTCGAAATGAAAAGCATTTTAACAACTAAGGATGACCTTTTGGGCAATCTCTTAAGACAAGGCATCTGAGCGACCCATTAACCAACGCAACTCCTGCATCCGATAGGGTAGAGAGCCATATCTAGATGGCAAGGAGATGCAAGAAGGATGAAGATGGAACTGTTTACCTCTAAAACCCAAAGGAAGTTAACAAGTCTATCCTTGGCCTCAAGAGAGCTTGAGACAGTGCTATGCTTTCTCTGTACTTAAAGCATTTTGCAAAATCAGTGGATGGGATAATAGGGGCTTTATTGGCCTGGCATGAGATCTAATCCTCACGGCCTAGATAGGAATTGTCTACGTTTTTCCTCCTCTGACACCCAAGTCTGTGTTTTCATTTCTGTGGAACTTTAACTATGAGGTTGATGATATAGACTGTTAACCTTCTGCACTGTTCAACGTTGGATGTTTTAAGAAACAAGGAGGACAACTGCATCGCGTCCCAAAATCTAATTACCAAAGTACAATTGGAAGACAACAAAGGCGTTTGTAGCATTTTAAAAAGACTGGTGAGATTTATTACTGCAATTTTGAAAACCTGTTAGGATGTCACTCCCCCAAACATGCAGGAAGAGTATATCCTTTTCTTTTTAGGAAATACCAAGTGTGGGAAAACCCAGGGCCATATGATAGTTGGGAGACCACAGACGTTTTACCGTTACTGAATATTAGTTTTTGAAAATTATTCAGGGGCTTTTATAAAAATCTGAGGTGCTCTCTTTCAGAACTGGTCCTTTGCTGTTTCAATATTAGCCTCTGGGACTATTTTGACTCTTAGCAGTTTCAAGTCACAAATAATACAAGGTTTTACAAAACAGAGGTTATTCATTTTAAATTTTAATCAACACTTTTTTTTTCTCAGAAAGACAACTAACGGTCAACAGGATTAATATTAATTCAGAGAAGGATCAAGTCTCTGACTTATCTGAATGCAGAATTATAAACTCAGGTTGTTTGTAGATTTGTGCTTCCTTTGTTATTTTGATAAACTTTGCACAGCTATGAAACTAGAACAATTGGATTGTACAGTAATATGTTTTCAGAGAACTGGCTTGTATATTCTAACATAATTTCTCAACCTTGATAACTTTGCTGGCTGAGGAATTTTGGGAGTTGAAGTCCACACATCTTAAATTTGCCCAGGTTGAGAAACACACTTCTAATGAATGTGGGGTGTGCAAAGAATTCCTGAGAACAATAAAATCCTTTGACCTTAGCCCACAAACATATACTACAGCCCTCTATGTCAATAACATTTTGCAAAAGTTACCATTCTGTATAAGTTGCATTTATAATTACAGGTTTTCTGTATTCAGATTTTTCCATGTTAACATTTCAAGAAATGTGATATGATTTTATTTTCTTCCTCTTGAGGAAGAAATATGTGATGCTTTGGTTGACACAGCTGATATATTGCAATACCACAATATATACACCTGAAAGCAAAACCAGGAATTTGAATGTTTTCTGAAACTTAAACACAAAACTTAATATTGTGAAAAAGGAACCAAAAGTTATTCTTTTATAATGTTACATTACTGCTTTACCTCTCACAAAGAATTACCTCATCATATCAATTAGACTGAATTAACATTATCCATTTTAAGCTCCCTAAGAACCAAGTTACAACAAAGGATCAGCCTATTCCGTTAGCAGCATGAAGCATTACAAAAACTCACCGATTATATTATATTGTATTTTTTTTTTAAAGCAAGATAAAAAAAATATGCTTTCTTTGAGAAGTGTTTTGGTCTAAGTGCAACCGAAAAGCAATTTTCAATATTGTAATTGACCTGGTCTAATTGTTAAATTTGATATAACTATCAACTTGTATATCAAATTAAATTTCACTCAAATTTGTTAAGATTCATTTGCAACGAGCATGCTTAGAATTATAACTCTCAATAAGCAGCAAATGTGGCACCCCACAGAAGTCCTGTTGTCAACATTTTTAATAAAATGCTGGGGCTGTATCACTATGAAAAAGGCATCTGATGCACTTGCAAGGGGGTTTTGTACTATCTATTTTAGATGCTTTAACCTTGTAGGGGATCAAAGACTAAAACCCAAGATATAATTAACAAGAGGATGAATCACTCTCTGAATCACTATCTTTTGAAGATTCGTCGTCCTCCTCTTTTTCTTCGTCACATACCCCTATAGGAATCTGATACACTTTCTTAGGACTTGATCCTGATAGAGAAAATCACATTGTTATTATACAAATGGATGAATACAGAGTTTTAAAGAATGCATTTATAAGCCAGCTTCCAACTTTACCATGAAATACACAGTGTATTCTGCAAACAGATCCCTGCATTAGTACTATGCAGGCACGAACTGGCCCGTGTCTCGATTGAGTTCTATGGGCAAGAGACACAGGCTCATGGAAGAGACCCATCCCATCTAATTACAGGCCGTCCTCAACTTACAACCTTTTGCTTTGTGATCGTTCAAACTTACAATGGCACTGAAAAACAATGACTGATGGCGGGTTTTCATATTTATGACCTTTGCACCATTCCCCGTGGTCATGTGATCAAAATTTGGGTGCTATGGCAACCTACATGTAGTACATGTACAATTGCAGTGTCAAGAATCATATAATCACCACTGGTAACCTGTCCAGCTGGTTTCATGAGGGAATCCAGATTCACCTAACAACCGCATGATTCACTTAACAACCACACGATTCACTTAACAACTGTGGCAAAAATATTGCAAAATGGGGCACAATTTGCTTAACAAGTCTTGCTTAGCAACATAAATTTTGGGCTCAATTGTGGTCATAAGACGAGGACTATCTGTATCTCCATCTCCAGTGTAGTAAATGAATGTGGATACATGTCTTCTCCCCTGAACAGTTTGCAGAAAGTACAGAAGTGATTCCAACCCCTTTAGATGTGAAGATACAGGAGATAAAACAGTGAACTGCTTACCTACACGGAACGGGCTTCTTTCCTCATTATCATCCAAGTAATCAAAGTCAAAAGACACATGATGGTTCTGTTGGCAAATATTTTAAACACCTCATTATATCGTGCAAATGCTTTAAAAGGTAAAGGTTCCCCTCGCACATATGTGCTGCTCGTTCCTGACTCTAGGGGGCAATGCTCATCTCCTTTTCAAAGCCGAAGAGCCAACGCTGTCCGAAGACGTCTCCGTGGTCATGTGGCCGGCATGACTAACCGCCAAAGGCGCACGGAACACTGTTACCTTCCCACCAAAGGTGGTCCCTATTTTTCTACTTGCATTTTTTACGCACTTTCGAATGGCTAGGTTGGCAGAAGCTGGGACAAATAAGGGGAGCTCACTCCATTATGCGGCACTAGGGATTCAAACCGCCCAACTGCCGACCTTTCTGATCCACAATCTCAGTGTCTTAGCCACTGAGCCACTGAATCAAATGCTTTATTTTGTCTTTTTCTTTTTTATTATTTACAACTCACTTTCTCTTTTAGTAAGTTGCCCCAAGGTTCCTTCTTCACTTTTACAAGGAGCAGGGTAGGTTCGTTGCCCTTAAGCACGCAGGTTGATTTCTCTCTTAGGATGCTCGTCTGCAGCTCCATATCGGCCAAATAAGACTTGCCATTTGCCGAAGCGCTGCACAAATGTTAAAATATAAGTTGGTCAGAGAACGATAAATCCATGCGTTGAAAAGATTGTGTCCATACAGATCAATCTACCTGAAAGTGATCCGCTGTTCAAAAATCCTGCAGTCGTAATTACTGATGTTTTGCAATTTTATCTTCACGACAACAGCGTCCTGCTTGTCAAACCATTTAATTGTTGGATGGAAGCTGAAATGTTAAAACAGTGAGTTAAAGTAGAGTTTTAAAATATGAATGCTGCTTGTATATGAAGTTATATGCGGTACTCATGAAGTAATTTAAGCTTATGAGCAGTGCTTGTTACTCTTGCCTCCTCCGAATTCCATCTGCCGGCCAATGTCGGCTGGCAACTCCCTGGGGGAGGGCCTTCTCTGTGGCTGCTCCGGCCCTCTGGAACGATCTCACTGTTGAGATCCGGACCCTTACCACTCTTCCGGCCTTCCGCAAAGCAACTAAGACCTGGCTGTTCCTGCAGGCCTGGGGCTGTTGAATTTTCCAGCCCCATCCGAGGTTACGACTGTTGCTGTATTTTAAATTGTTTGTCTTTTATTTTTATTTTGTACCCCTCCCCTTCTGATTGTTAGCCGCCCTGGGTCTTCCGGGAATAGGGCGGCATACAAACCACATAAAACCTTAAATAAACCTTAAAACCTCTTCCATGAAATCATCTAAATAAAGTTGGTCTATTCTGCTCCTTCCCATCCTCAAATTAGCAAAACAAAGCATCCAACTGAAAAGCTGAATATTTATTCATTGACTTGAGTTCTTGGTTGTGACCCTAATCCAACAGTTGAACTAACCTACCAGTTAGATATGTAATTGCATTTTGCATAGATGTAACTCTTCAAATTTCACATTATAAAACTAAAAATAAATATGCCCTGAAAGAAGATACAGTGCCATCAAGTAGGGCAAAAACATTTTAAGGAAAAAATAATTATGCATTGAAATTGGTAGAGTAAAATATACATACATACATACATACATACATACATACATACATACATACATACATACATACATACATACCATACATTTAAATCCCATGTGTAGAAAATGAAACATTATTTGAATCCAAAGCCACACAGCTTTGTTAATCCACGATACATATGTGGATATGTAAAAACAAGAAACAATATGCATTATGCCTGAAGCAAAAAAGAAATCACTTTTGGGGAAGTTGGTGTGTGTGTGTGTGTGTGTCTTCGTCTGTTTTCATAATTTTTTCTGGAAATAAGTTTGCTGTGATACTGCCTCACATTTCAAAAAGCATTTTGTAGTTATCTGAAGAATACATGACTTACGTGTCAAATCAGATACTTTCCACACAATGCTCAAACAACCCTAACTTTGGACTTTCTCTGAGAAGTTTTAAAACATGGAGATCTTCCAGGGGCCTTCTAAAAGCAGCCCTTTGAACCCCAGGATAGACAAGGAAAGAGCAAGAAAAACATTACTCTCCATCCCGCCCTGTAGAACTAAGGCACGTATAAGTCCCATCAAATAAAGGTTGATACCATTTAGGCGAAGTCTGTGGATCGTCTTCGTTGTTCTTATTTTGCACTGTTTCATCTACATTAAGAAATAAAACAAGTTGACTTCGCATGGTATCTCTCTTTACCAGATTTCAATGGCTAAAACTGAACACAATGTCCCAACTGCATTTAATTAATTAGAAAGGTTCTTTCAAGGTAAAGCTATCTCACAGAACAAAAATAGTCCTCATCTCAGTGTATTTCAAATGGCAATCAGCAGCACTAATATCGCTGAAGCATATTCAAGGACTGAAAAGCAAACCACATTTCTCAGAAAGTAACTTATTGGCATATTTAGGCCTTGCTGGGTACTAGAAATTTCAAAAACTCCGTAATGAAACAAAAAACAAGCAAAGTTTGCATATATTTTTAATTAATTATCTTGTCATCTTATCATTAGGGATCATAATTTTTCACAGAACATAAAAGATAGGGTTAGAAGGGACCTCAGAGGTCTTCTAGACCAGTAGTCACCAACCGGTGGTCTGCAGAAAAATTCTTTGCATTTTTTATATTGCACTAAATACTATTTATCTTTTAAAAAGTTCATATTAGTGGTCCGTGGGATTTAAAATTATGAATTTAGTGGTCCCTGAGGTCTGAAAGATTGGTGACCCCTTTTCTAGACCAGCCTCCTGCTCAAGCAGGAGATTCTGTATCTGTTTTTCCTGTTTTTTCAGAACAAAACAACAGAACAAAATTCCTCCTACAGATACTTACTATATTCCAGTTCATTTACTCCATTGTACTTACTACAATGATTTTCTAAAGATACTTGAGAATAACCATCATGAATGATATCTTGGCCGTGCTGCAATTTCTGTACAACGGGCGGGGCCTCTTTATCTGAGGCCTCTGAGCTAAGAGTTGCAGGATTGGACCCATTCTGCTCAACAGGTTCAACCTTCTCCTTTCTTCCATCCGTGGGGGGAGGCGGTCTGAAATGGAAAGAGAATTTTGTGGCCAAAATGTTGGATCAAGAGTTTTCAGCCAAGAGAAAGCAGATTTAGCTTTGAACAATATATATTTTAAAATTCTAAGATCCTTTTATTTTCTATTTTTGCTAATGCCAAAGCATCACCTGTCTTCTATTTTGTTGCTAGCGACAGGAGAAGGCTGCAACCTTGATGCTCTCACATGGGTTTTGCTGATTATATAGGTTTGTTGTTATAGAAATGGCCAGTATAAAAGTAGAAAGTTGAGGTGTTATGTTACTGCTTTATTCTACTGCATCAAAAGGAGTTGGAAGTCAATGCTTTCCTTTTACTGTTCCCCTTTTCCTCTCTTATTTCCCCCCTATTTTCATTTTTGTTTTTCATATTTTGATGAACTAATAAAATATTCGAAGAGAGTTGCTCTCAAGTGGACTGACTGCAAGAATTTGCTGGCAGGGAAGCAAGTGTGCTATGGAAGGAAGCACGTGCTATCAGTCCCCTCAAAAAACTTTGCTTTCAGGTGGGGTTTTTTCCAAAGACCTCAAGGAGGCAAACTATTCGAAATGCACTGTAGTTTTCTTTGGTTATTCATAAAAACAGACAAGAATAAAAGGGAAATGCACAAACACACACACACACAAACACTGAAATGTCTTTCTGTTCCTGGGAGATCTATTATAGTCATCTAGCAAGGCTAAAAAAAATTTGAGAAGAATCTCCCAGGGCCTGAACCTACCCTGGCTTCAGTCTTAGAAGAAACCTTCAGGCAAAACAAGCATTAAGCCATTAGAATAGTTTAGTTTAGTGTCATTGAACATCGTACAATGAAATTAAATGACATCTTCAGTGTACATTATAACTATAAAAATAAAAAATACAAACACACATCCTTCACATTCTGCATAATTAAAATTGAAAACCCAATATTGCATTAATATTACACTATGCCGTAGAATTCAATATTGTTACTGCTCTGAGATAGAAGCTGTTTTTCAGCTTATTCGACCTTGTTTTTATTGTCCTGTACCGTCTGCCAGATGGTAATAGTTAAAAAAAAGGGGTGCCCAGAATGAGATCGATGTTTAAGGATGTTTTGAACTTTCTTAAGGCAGCGGGAGCTCTAAAGCTCTTCCAAAGAGGGGAGAGGGCAACCAATGGTCCTCTGGGCAATGACTTTAACCCTCTGGAGCGCTGTCCTATCTGCCACTGTGCAATTGGCAAACCATACACAGGTGCAGTAAGTTAAAATACTCTCTTTGGTGCAGCGGTAGAAGGTCACCAGCAATTTTTCATTCAGTTGATGTTTCCTGAGAAGTCTCAGGTCGTATCATCTCTGCTGGGCCCTTTTGACCAGGGCTGCAATGTGAGTTGCCCCAGGTCAGGTCCTCTTTTAAACTAAACTAAACTAAACCAAGCATTAAGCCATTCGAATGAAGGTAGTCCTCAACTTACAGCCATTTGTTTAGTGACCTTCGAAGTTGCAACAGCGCTGAAAAAAGTGACATATGATCATTTTTACACATGGCCATTGCACCATCCCCATGGTCACGTGATCCAAACTCAGGTGCTTGGCAACTGGCATGTATTTATGACAGTCGCCCTGTCCTGTGGTCATGTGATCTCACCCATTTGCATCCTTCCCAGCTATCTTTCGACAAGCCAAGTCAATGGGGGAAGCCAGATCCACTTAAATGACATTGCGGTTCACTTGATAACACAGCAATTTGTTCAATTGTGGCTAAAAGTTTGTACGCCCAACTCACTTAACCACTGGCTTGCTTAGTACAAATATACAAATCCTTCATTTCGCCATGGATTTAGTATTATCAGCTGCTGTGCTTTTAGCCAATAATTCAGGGCAATGTGTGCAATGTTTCTTAAGATCACACTACTGATCATATATCGATGTTTTATCGAGCAAAAGTACTGATCTACATGCCCTCCTTTTCTGAAATTTAGGAAGGTAAAAGATCCTAACACATATCATTTTTAATGGAAGCATTTTACCCCTTCTCCAGCTGCTGATCAGCTGTGCTATTGAACAAGGCCTCTTTTATTTTTTTTAAAGGATGCACAAATATTGAGAGACTCTTTTATCTAATAGGCCAAAAACATTTTGCTAGAAAAGTGTTCGAAGGGGAAGAGCTCCGTTCTTGATTCTTTGCCACCCTCTAGTGGGTAGTAAGGTTTAGATGTTTGTGGAAGATGTAGGCAGGACTGGAGCTTTCTGGCAGAAAAATGGAAAAGTGGAGCTTTGAGCACCATGAGCACCTCTGCTCTGAGAAGGGAGGAAAGATGATTGATAGCAGAAGGTCTCATGAAAATGCACAAAGGGCATTTTCTCCCTTGACTTGGCCCCACCATACTTTCATTTATGTGCTCAAAAGAAGTGTTGCTCTCCTCTTTATGAAGTGATATGAAAAGTCTAAGAGCAACACAGGGGAGAAGAGGCTGAGGAGATTTCACAAACTACCTCAAAGCAAAGACTTTGATGAAACAGTTCCCTGTAATATGAGCAAACAACTAAAGTCTTTGAAACAGAAGAACAAACAAAGGATGCTTTCAAGTCTAAAGCTATCATTCCTAAAGTTCAAAAGCCATCAGGGTTCTTGACCTATTAATATCTTCAAGTTTCTAGGTTCTATCATATCTCAAGACTTAAAATGGACACCTAACATAAAAAACGTCATCAAAAAAGCACAACAAAGAATGTTCTTTCTGAGTCAACTCAGAAAGCTCAGATGAGTCTGTCATCTGCAGCTCTATAACTGCCTGGTTTGGCTCTGCAACCCAACAAGACAGACACAGACCTCAATCGATAATCAGAACTGCAGAAAAAACAATTGCTACTAACCTGCCTTCCATTGAGGACCTGTATATTGCACGAGTCCAAAAGAGGGCTGTGAAAATATCTACAGACCCCACACATCTTGGACACAAATTGTTTCAACTCCTACCCTCAAAACAATGCTATAGAGCACTGCACACCAAGACAACTAGACACAAGGAGGTTTTTTTCCTGAATGCCATCACTCTAGTTAACAACTAAATCCCACAACATTGTCCAATAATTTACTAAGACTGTATTACTATTCTTCTCTTCCTTCCTAGTACCTGTCTCTTCCCACTTATGACTATAACCATGTTGCTTGTATCTTTCAATTGACGTATATTGTTTTTGTTTCCTAATACGTTTGGATTGCTTATTAGTAACCTATGACTATCACCAAGTATTGTATTTTTTTATTCTTGATGAATGTAATGTATTCTCCTTATGTACACTGAGACATCTGAACCAAAGACAAATTCCTCATGTGTTTAATCACACTTGGCCCATAAAGAATTCTATTCTATTCTTATAAAATAAAAATGTATTTTGATGTTTTCTTCACATAAGGACTGTGGTTAGTTATTATGCCAGCCAAGGTGTGTGCCACCAATGGTGGCTGGCTGGTAGGAAACCCATGGCTGTATTTGCAGAGCTGGGGGAGTGCCATATCCTTACTCCTTTGTGGCTGGAGTAACCTAATGTCAACCATGCATTCAAGCCGCCCGGAGTCCTTCAGGATTGGGCGGCCTATAAATTTAATAAATAAATAAATAAAATAAAGGGACTACTTATTTCCTGAAACAGACAGATCAACATACATCAGAGCTATAAATATCCAACTTAACTTCATGAATTGTATCCTTCTTCCTACTTCCCACAATCATTAGAATATTATAGGACATGAAACTATATACCAATATTGTTCTTTAACCAGAATGTTCTCAACATGATTCAGTTGAATCATCATCCAGTTTGAGTGCATGCAGCCAATAATTATCCATAAAATATATCTTACAATGTAGGTGCCTCTTTTTTCTCATGGGGTATTTCAGTCTCATTAAATAATTTCTCAAGTTCCTGTATATGCTCAGGGTTGTCTACTCCCAATCCAGTAGATAGGATTTCAGAGCGAATATTGTATTCGTTGATTGAAGTTTTCAGGTCTTGAAGTTTAGTAACTCGAATCTAAAATTTAAAATGACAAACAAGGGACATTTATTCTTTTGCAGAATTCTTCTTTGTGGCTCCAAATGGTTGCTTGATTCTTGCTCCTACTTATGACCACAATCTCATCCTTTTATTGTTTTATCCATTCTCTTAGAAGATGGTCATCGACCGAGACTGCATTTTAAATTTTGGACATTTCTAAACCCAGTCAGATCTTACTGTCCTTCTCTTGGTTCTAAGATTTAAGTTTCAAGTAGATGTAAAAAAAAAAAACTGACACAAAAAGAAAGCAAATTTTTTGTTGAAAATTAGAATTACAAAGTACTGATCACATCTATTACCCAGAAGAAACTACCTGTTCACTCTAATTTCAAAACCTGGAAGTACTTTCAGAACAGGTACCTGACTTACAACCATTCATTAAGTGACTGAAGTTACAGCAGCACTGATAAAAGTGACTTGCAACCAGTCCTTGCACTTATAATTACTGCAGCATCCCCCCCCCCCCGGTCCACCAATGGCAATGGGATCGAAATTTGGATGTGCTTGGCAACCATCCCATATTTACAACATTCCAGAGTCACATGGTTGCCATTTGTGATCTTCCCAAGCAAAGTCGATAGAAGCTGGATTTGCTCAACAATCACGCGATTCATTCAATGGCAACTGCAGTGGTTCACTTCCACGTGGCCAAAGGGGAAAAAAAAGTTGTAAAATCAGGCGTGGCTCACTTGAATAACTGCTTTGAGTTAGCCATGGAAATTCTGGCCCCAATTATGGTCATCAGTCGAGGGCTACATCTATTACAGATAGTCCTCAACTTACAACAGTTCAGTTAGCGACTGTTCAAAGTTACAACGGCACTAAAAAACCCATGACAATTGCAGTGATTCATTTAACAAATGGGGCAAGAAAAGTCATAAAACGGGGCACAGTCCACGTAACAAGTGTTTCACTTAACAATGTAAATTTTGGGGCTCAATTGTGGTCATAACTCAAAGACTACCTGCATTTTCAAAGAAAGGAAATAAGGAATAGTTGAATTCTGCATTACATACCACTGGATCTACCCAAATTGTATTTCCCAGGATAAGTGCTATTTTTGCTTCATGCGGTTTCCCTCTGATTTTGTCATTAATGTATCTAGATACCTAAACAAAAAACAAAGACCATCTTCAGAAAAGAGACAATGTTCCTTTTCAATGACTACAGCATTCCTTTTAATAGAAGCTTACTGAAGCAGTTTAGTGTAGCCTAGGGCAAGCAATTATACAAATAGGTGCCTATTAAATACATTAATTAACTCATAAAGATTGAGTGTATCCCGTTGTTTGGCACAATGAAAGAATTAAAACTAAATTTTAGGAGAGGGATTTGTTGTTTCTTGTTTAAAATCAGGCATTAGGCGCTATTTAGCATGATAGTTCATCAAAACATCTGGAAAAGATTCTATTTGGGATTATTAAGAAAAAAATACTGTTTGCAAAGACCAAAAAAACTAAATCAAACCAACTCCAAATTTTGGGATCTTACTTTTGGATGCCATTCTGCTTCATTATCAATGGGTTTAACCCTACAAACGATGAATTCCACAGCCTGAGGAGGCAGCGTTTGAAAGCGTTCCAGTAAACTAAGCAAATGATGGTTTTGAACAGAGCCGGTTCTTCCTTCATCTATGTACTTGATGTGGACGTTGTAAAACACGCCGGGATCTTCTTTTTGTTCCATGTCCAGTGCTTGGACCCTTTAAGAGAACACAGGGAAAGGACACCAGGATATTCCAACTATTAAAACATACACATTGGCCTTTTATGTACTTGTACAACCTACCAGAGTGTGTAATTCAGTGCAACAAATAAACTGCGCATTCAGTTCATATTCCCTATGCTTACAACCTGTGATCATCTCTGGCCCGTCAAGATTCTGATGCTCAAACAATCCTGTTTGGGGAGATAACTTTCTTCTTCTTGTGCGATATCTGTCATTGGATGTTGGCAATCATGTTGGTGATATTATTTTTATCAACAGCCGCACCAAAATGTGCTGTTGAGTTTTAGATTTTGAAGCCATGATGTTCTTCTTCTGCCTGGACCTCATTTGCCTTCAATCTTTCCTTGGAGGATTAAGTGAAGCATGCCGTATTTTTCTGGGTAGTGTATCACATGCCCAAAATATTCTAGCTTTCACTTCCTTGTGGTTTTGATAATTTCCCTTGGCTTTCCCAGGCGGCTTGGGGCAGAATTTCCTATAGCCCACCAGGAGGTTGGCTATCCATGCACAGGGCCTACATATGGTCCCTTTGTTACCCTAGCAGTAATAGAATAGAAACAGACACACCCCATGACAGACCAAGAGTGAATCTAAGGGCACAGTGGTGTTCAGAGAAACAGCATTGTCCACTTCTATTTCTAATTTAGACTATCACTTTACCAGTCATTACACAGAGAATCCTCTGATTGTGTCCATTCATTTAATGACCGTTGTGGAAATTGTAGTAGTGCTAAAAAAAATATAGGGAGGTACAGCTGGTTGCTGAAGTTCCAGCCATTGCACCACCCTAGGATTGGAATCTGGGTGCTCTGCTCGCAATTGTGACGTTGCAGGGAGCTGTGGTCACATGATCACCATTTGCAACCTTGCCATGTTCCTACAAGCAAAGTCTATGGGGGAAGCTGGAAGGGAAATTTGCAAATTGTTCCGGTAAGTTTCGCCTGCTTTCTCTCTGCAGCCTATACCTGTCCTCCTGCAACTGCAGTAGTTCTACCTTGGCGTCCCGCAGCCTGTGGCACCCCCCCCCCTCCTGCACCTCTTAACACTCATCACATTTTGAAGTTATGATCGCAGCTGGGACTGCTGTTGCCACGTGGTGTGGTCCTTTGGCACTGTGCTTTCCGACTGCATTGCTTGGTGACGGCTAAATTAATTTATTTCTACAATGCCCCAAGTAGCCTACCTGTGGAAATAATTTTCTTCCCGCAGTCCATACACTGCCAGTTTCTCCACCTTGTCAACCGGGGTACAATTATTTGATTCCTGATAATAATCCTTTAGCTCTGTCTCAAGATTTGTGTAGGGATTACCCCATTTCCCTACCACACGGCCTAAGTAGTTTGTGGCATCCACAATAAAGAGGGGCAGTATCTGAAAATAGAAAATGCATGTAAAAATTTCCTGGAAGTCAACAAAGGAAGATTTCTATCAGTAATTATTATTTTCTGTAAATGCCCATTAAAAATGCATCTGTTTTAACTGTTTTCTCACTGTTCTCTTTCTTGTACAAGGATTTTTTGGGGGCAGGGGAGGGGAGCTAGCACCCAAAGAATAGGAAAACGAAGCAATTCTGCAAGATCTTCTCAAATAATATAAGACATGGCGCGGTTGGGGTGACATCCAGCTGCGGAGAAAGGCATAGTGGGATCAAGACAACCCAGCAGGAAAAGTGTTTTCTGTGATAAAGTTGGAACAAGCTTCCTGTTCTGATCCACAAGGCTATTTTAAATATTTAGAAACTGAAGGTGTTTTACGGACTCACTGTTATAATTCCACCTGTTTGCAGAGCTTCGTCAACTGCTTTTGAGGGCACATCGATTTGAAGGTTAATGCGATGGCGATCTGGACAGCGTTTTTTATTTCTGTATGATCGTAAGGAGACAGAATTAAAATAACAAATGAATATTAGGGTAGCAATTCCAAAACATTGCAATGTTTGGAACCACAGAATAAAGCAAGCAGTGATGGAAAAGGAATCTATACAATCGCTGCTTGCGTGGAGAACGCAGGAGCAGAAACATCTACACAACGAACATTTACAAGTGTGTCACTGGAGCACCCCAGATTGTTACGGTGAATAAATCAAAGGTTCTGTAAATCCCAAAGGAGAGCCACAGAGGGTGTCCCTGCATTCCGGAACGATTCACTAAAGGAATCAAGCAAAAGGCTTCATCTCGGTGATTCAGCACGTTTTGCATGGAGCCTTGTCCAATGTGAAAGATCAGAAGGAGCTGCGACAGATCCATGATTTGATGCTGCTCTTCTCCATTCCTTCACAAGTTGCTTTGATAAAAAGCCCAATTTTATACTTCTTTCCTCTGTTACTTGAATGGATCAAGTATATCACATCATCAAAGGATAATATAATGTGGACAGCAGCCAGAACAATTCTCCGAAACTGCTCTCATTAGATTACTTTCTGTATGTTTTGCTAAGTTATCCTATTATAGCAGAACAAGGTAAATGACTGCTGAAACTAATGGCCTTGGCCTAAAGGTGCAGGAAGCCTCTTCAGATGAACTGAAGAAAGCAGCTTCTTGGATGAGAAGCGAAACATCTTCCAAGGAAAAAAGCCTAGTTGCCTTTCAAAAAAGCACCATATTGGGAATAGAAGAATATATAATAATATGTCAGTTAAGAGTTAAGGAAAATGGATATCAAGTGATATGGATGTGGTACCTAACACCATGTAAATTAAATCAAGTAGATGGTAAATATACAAATATTTGTTGGAGGTGAAAGAAAGAGATTGGAACATATAAACACATGTGGTGAGATTGTGACAGTGCATATGGGACATGGTGTTTAGAGAAATTAGAGCACTTTTGAATGTAAATTGAGACATGTCACCAAGAGTTGCATTATTGTTCCTGGTGGAAAAATGGGATATAAATGAAACAAAAAAGGAATTGATTGGAAATTTGATAATGGCAGCTAGATTAATGATGGCTAAATATTGTGGACAAAATTGGGATATTCAAAAACATGAGTGGTATAATGAAATTTGGAGTATGGCAACAAATGATAAATTAACAACAGAGATTAAATTTCAAAAAGGGATGATTAAATCAAATAATTATAATGAAATATGGGGGGATTTTATAATCAGTGTTGGTGGAAGGCAAAGGGAATAAACTTACTCAAGAATATATGTTGTTTTGGAGGTGATATGGGCACAATTGGAGTATATTGTACATCTTTTAGTTGTTACAGACGAAGAAATTTAAATGGGGAAAAAAGATCTCGGGGGGGGGGGATGTTGCACTGTAATATTTGTTTTTTTCCTTTTTTTCTTTCTTTTTTGTATTAACTATGTTTGTATTATTGGTATATATACATATATACACATACATACATACATACACATACACACATATGTTTGTGTGTGTTGCATTTGTGCGGATAAATAAATAAAGGGAGACTAGTATAGATCTATTTCAAGCTATTTAGCTCTCATCAGCTAGCCATACCCTTACTGGGATTTGAACCTGGGCTGTTTTTACATGTTAGGCAGTTGTATTAGCCTCTAAGCCACAAGCTCTCCTCCCTTATCAGCTGAGCCAAGGAAATAAAGGAGGGGTTATGTCAAAGCACCTGGTATGCCAAAAAATTGGGGGTTTACTGCTTCCCTTTTGCCTTTCAGCTCCACCTAACGCGCGTGTGTGTGTATGTGTTTGTGTGTGTGTATGTCCATGACCCAGATGATCAAGAATCTCCAAAGACATAAAATGGCCTTGGCATTTCCTTACTTGCATGTTCCGTAGGACTTAATGGAAGAACACATTGGCTGCCTGCTTCTCTTTTCCTCTTTGGCTTCCAACACTCCCCTGGTAAAGTTGTACAAGTCAGAGGGGATGAAGGCTTCTGCCCGTTTCAAATAATGCAACACTCCAACTGCATGGCAGGCATTTTTCTCTGTCAACAGCAAGATGGATTTGGCTTTGCTCTGTTCTTTTCCCAGTGATGGGCCCTTTGCAAGGAAAGGGAAGAACAGAAGAAGAGAGTGTTACATTGTGGGTTGGACAGAAGATTCCAGGCATAAATTAAAAATCCTTTTTAAAAAATAATAATGAGTAGAATTACTGGTAGAGCGAGAAGCTCAATGGCCACTGAAGAGAGAAAAGAGGGAAAGGGCAAGGTGAGAACTTTTCTATTTGAAATTGCAGAACTGTATGCCATGCTGACAAACGATTTATTAGGATTTACTCAGACCTTTTCTACTGAATTCTGGAAGTTGGCGGACAGGCCATGAAGGCGGGCACCAAAGATTCTTGGAGTTGGCGGAAAGCTGAAATGAATGACACGGGTTGCGTCTGTAAATTTTACAGCTGTCGTGCAGTCATCTGTTAAAACTGGAAACAAAAACCAGAAGATCCATAACGCAAAAGCCTCTTTTTACTTGCTGTCAAAAACGGAAAGGAAAATCCTTATTTCTAGATATGTCTAGTTCACTTCATAATCAGCACAAACCCTACAGGATTCTGTAAGCTTAGTTCTAACATAAGGATTCATCTTGTCTCCTGATTCTTAAATTAAAGGAGTGTTCCTGTATAGTTGCTTTCAGACTACTAATTAATTACTTGGGAGGAAACTACAAATCAGACAAACCACATTCTTTATAGGCAGGGACTAACCACCTGGAACAGGTAGACAAGATGGGTTAATAGAAGCATCGAGAATAAATACTGTTCTTACTAATTCATCTCTTGTTTTTTTTATTATACAATTAACTCCTACCCTAAGGTTTAGTGAGACAATCAGAGCTGATCACAATCAAATTGACACTGATCTTAATCTAAAATTGAAAAATCAATATACATAAAAATAGATGTATGTGTGTATGTTCCAACATAACTCTGGAACGCCTCGAGCAATTTCAACTAAACTTGGTACACAGATGTCTTACTCTCTGGAGACAAATAATGTGGGGATAAGACACCCCTAACAACCCTCAAGGGTGGTGGTGGTGTTCTGTTAAGATACAGCCTGTTGTGCCTTAAAATGGCTTCTACTGTACTGCCATAAAATGGCTTTTATTTTACAACGCAGTGGAGTTGCCATGGTAACGGCTTCACTGTACTCCACAAAGGAGCTCCTTCTGGTAAGGGGGAAAATCCAACATTAGAAATTATGTTTGGTCCGGACATTTTCCTCCTATAAATAAATACTTGGGCAAAGCCAGGTTATCAGCTAGCGCTTTATAAATTAGTCAATCAAACCATAAGTACGGAGCTAAAGAGTCAACTGTTTTTTTGAGAAAGAGCCTAGAGAAGATACTTACCCAATACAACATGGGTTCCAGGGCTGATGGTTTTGTTCCACTGCTCTACAATATAATCAGAATGAAATCCAATTCCCGGGTTCATTTTCAAGCAAAAGAGTGAAATGCTTTCTACTGCCTGATCGTAAAAATGAGGATGCAATCATGTCACATAACATGCAACGTAAGAGAATTTTTGTTTTAAGCTCGGTTGACAGAAAATAACTGAGTCATATAATGCGATTCATTTATTTGGGTTGGGGAAGATGGGAGAGTCCATCCATTATTGCTTAGTTATCTATGACAACTCCCTGAACAAACCATGCTTAATATCTTTTCTTAACTTTGTTTAAATTTGGGGACTAAAGCAGGGGCGTCCAATCTTGGCAATTTTTAGGGAAGGAGATACCTTGTATACCATGTCTCTTTCTTCCAGAGAACTTGTAAAAATCATAGTCTTTTGAGCATCGGTAGGGGTAAAATCTAACGTTTGAAGTAAAGTAGAGATCCGGTCACACTCAAGGCAGAGCTGTACAACCTGAAATTACATATTATTCAAATGTGTTAGAATGGAAATCGTTCCTCATTTTAAAAACGCCTTTGAGCAAGTGATTTAGTGATGAAAACCTAACCCCTTCAAGATTATTTTCTTAGGCAGAAATCCACAATGTTTTTTTATACACAGTTCAAGGATCAAAAGATAGAAACCCCCATTGGTTCAGCTGACACTCAATTTGATCCTTTGTTCTGAGGGGACAATGCAGGTAAGTCCTTGACTTGACAACTGCCATTGAGCCTAAAATTTCTGTTGATAAGTGAGAAACATTTGCTCCATATTATTTTTCTTGTCACAGTTCTTAAGTGAATCACTGCAGTTGTTAAGTTAGGAACACAGTTGTTAAATGAATTTGGCTTCTCCGTTGTCTTCGATTGTCAGGACGCAAAAGGGGATCACATGACCCCAGGGCACTGCAACCGTCATAAATATGAATCAGTTGCCAAGCATCTGAATTTGTATCACATGATCTTGGGGATGCTGCAACAGTCATAAGGGTGAAAAACAATCATAAGTCTTTGTTTTCAGTGCTGTTGTAACTTTGCACAGTCACTAAATGAACTGCTGTAAGTCAAGGACTACCAGTAATGAATTTTAGAGATGCCATAATACATTTTCTTTCACAGAGGAAACTTTTCCCACCTGGATACTCTTATATGCCATGAGCCTAGCAGCACAGAAATTTGATCATTTTTATGATTTAATTTGTACGCTTTTACCTGGCAGGAATAGCCAACACTCCAGAAGACAGGCTCAAGATACAGAAGGATCTTGACAAACTTGAAAATTGCAAAATGAAATTCAATGGTGAAAAGAGTAAGGTTCTACATTTAGGCAAGAAAAACGAAATGCCCAGGTACAGTATAGGTGGTACCTTGCTCCACAGTAGTAACTGTGAAAGGGGTCTTGGAGTCCTAGTGGACAACCATTTAAATATGAGCCAGGTGTGTGCAGCAGCTGCCAAAAAAGCCAACACAGTTCTAGGCTACATAAACAGAGGGATAGAATCAAGATCACGCGAAGTGTTAATACCACTTTATAATGCCTTGGTAAGGCCACACTTGGAATACTGCATTGTTTTGGTCGCCACAACGTAGAAAAAATGTGGAGAGTCTAGAAAGAGTGCAGAGAAGAGCAACAAAGATGATTAGGGGACTGGAGACTAAAACATATGAAAAACGACTGCAGGAACTGGGTATGTCTAGTTTAATGAAAAGAAGGACTAGGGGAGACATGATAGCAGTGTTCCAATATCTCAGAGGTTGCCACATAGAAGAGGGAGTCAAACTATTCTCCAAGGCACCTGAGGGTAGAACAAGAAGCAATGGGTGGGAACTAATCAAGGAGAGAAGCAACTTAGAACTGAGGAGAAATTTCCTGAGAGTTAGAATAATTAATCAGTGGAACAGAAATTGCCTCCAGAAGCTGTGAATGCCCCAACACTGGAAGTCTTTAAGAAGATGCTGGATAGCCATTTGTCTGAAACGGTATAGAGTTTCCTGCCTAGGCAGGGGGTTGGACTAGAAGACCTCCAAGGTCCCTTCCAACTCTTGTTATTGTATTACTAAGAGCCATCTCAAGAAGCTGCCTGTGGTACATTTGCCAAATCAAAACCTGCTATTATAGATACATGAAAAAGATATTAAAAAACATTTTACCTGTTGCACTTTCCCATATATGGCAGCTTCTTCCATGGAGGTGATTACAATATATGGATCACTCATGAATTCTTTTGTTAAAACCTCTACGTTTTTGTCCCAGTGGTTTCCAACAGCAACGATTTGCTGAGGTGCAAACTCCTTTTCTTCAACGCTCAAGTTAGATTTGTAGTATTGTAAAATAGCAAGTATCTGTAAACAGGGATTAAAGCTTCCTCGTTATCTTCTGCCTTTCCAACACAGAATTGCTATACAGGAGATTTATGAATAGAAATGACGGGACAAGAAAGTAACTTCTTACTAGCTGGTCTTTTGAAATGAATTAGGATTATGGTTTATGTATTGTTATATCCATACTTGTTCTGTTTTCCTTTCCTTTCCATCCCATCACGTTCAAGCTTTCTGCGCACCAATGAAATGTTTTATTTATAGGGAGTAGCATAAAAACACAGCTGATTTTTTTTTGTGGGGGGGGAGGGGAAAATATTTTCTTTCACTTAAGAGCTGTGGTTGCGCAGTGGTTAGAGTGCAGTACTGCAGACTACTTCTGCTGACTGCTGGCTCCCAGCAGTTCAAATCTCACCAGGCTCAGGGTTGACTCAGCCTTCATCCTTCCAAGATGGATATAATGAGGACCCAGATTGTTGGGGGCCAATAGGCTGACTTTATAAACTGCTTAGAGAGGGCTGTAAAGCACTGTGAAGCGGTATATGTTTAAGCGGTGTTGCTATTATTCCTTCATCAGAGGCCAAAAAGTGCTTTCGAACCCAAACTCACCTGCTCCTTTGCATCAGAGAACAATACATCAACCTCATCAAACACCAGGTGACACAACCTAAGCAAGAGTAAACTATGATGCTCGAGCAGCCGCAAAAAGCTAGGTGGGGTTGTTACCAGGATTTCACCTGTCAAATGAAAAGGAATGCATCACTGGTACGAGCTCATTGGCTTCAAAAGGGAAAATAAAACATTAACTTAATGGCTCAAATACTTTGACACTAACTGGTATCTCTGAAGGGCACTCTAGCCTGGAGAAAATGGGAAATTTGAGGTAATTTGTTATGATTTATGGCTTATAGTTATGTCTTAGAGCCGAGGTGGCGCAGTGGTTAGGGTGCAGTACTGCAGGCCACTTTAGCTGACTGTTATCTGCAGTTCAGCGGTTCAAATCTCACCGGCTCAAGGTTGACTCAGCCTTCCATTCTTCCGAGGTGGGTGAAATGAGGACCCGGACTATGGGGGCAATTTGCTGACTCAATTTGCTAAAAATCTGTAAACCGCTTAAGCGGTATATAAGTCTAATAAATAAATAAATAACTGCTAGCTGCAGTTCGATTCTCAGCAGGCTCGAGGCTGACTCAGCCTCCCATCCTTCCGAGGTGGGTAAAATGAGGACCCAGATTGTTGGGGCCAAGAAGCTGACTCTGTAAGCTGCTTAGAGAGGGCTGTAAAAGCGGTATATAAATCTAAGCGCTAATGCTTTTACAAACCTCATCACCTGAAACCAAGAAAGCTTTCATTTGTTTTGGCTATCAATATGGCCAGAGTTTCACCGCCACAAAGGAGGCCAGAGTTTCTGTTGCTAAGCAAGACAGTTGTTGCCTCCAATTTTACCTTTCTTGCCACAATTAAGTGAATCACTGCCGGCTGTTAAGCTAGTAACACGGTTGCTAAGCAAATCTAACTTCCCCATTGACTTTGCTTGTCAGGTCGCAAAAGGGGAATCACATAACCCTGGGACGCTGCAACCGTTATAAATATGGACCAATTGCCAAACATCCAAACTCTGATCACGTGACTTTGGGGACGCTGCAATGGTCGTTAAGTGTGAAAAACGTCCATAAGTCACTTTATTCAGTGATGTTGCAACTTTGACTGGTCACTCAATAAACTACTGTAAGTCAATGTACTGTCTGTAGTTACAGTTAAAACATTTTAAGAGGCAGCAGCATTATTCTAAAATTCTATGCCTCCTGCTTGGGATAGCCTTCATATTTTTGTCATGATTTTAGCTGCTCATTCCTTCCCGTGGGCAATACAATTAATCACGTTTTGCTTACATCCTCTTGGAATTCTTAGACTCTTGATTTCTTCCTTATTCATTCCCAGGAAAAGCAACATTGGGTGGAGAGGCCTCGAGCAATAGCTGTACATTTTCAGGAGCTCAAATACCAGTTCTGCTTTCTTCTGGCCAGAGCATATGATTAATGCTACTGGCTACATATACAAAACATTATACAGAGATGGATCAGACATAGGTTTATCATACCTCTTAAAAAAGTAAGTTGATTAGTCATTACAAACAATACAAACTTTTGCAGAGACCCAAACATTTTACAAGAATAACACGGCGTTTTTTTTTAATTTATTGCTATCTTTAAATCACTGTTGCCTTTCCAAAATCATGATTCCTTCTACATAAAGAATCTCTCTATATAAAAACATGTTTGTGTGTGTTCCAACATAACTCTGGACACTCTGGAAACAAATACTGTAAGGGTAAGATACCCCTAACACCCCTCAAGGTGTGTGTTCTGTTAAGATACAGCTGTTGTGCCTTAAAATGGTTTCTACTGTACAACACAGCAGAGTTGCCATGGTAATGGCTTCACAGTATTCCACAAGGGGGCTCCTCTGTAGTTAGGGGGGAAATCCAACATTAGAAATTACATTTGGTCTAGACATTTTCCTCCTATAAATAAATATCCAACGCCGTTTTATCAACTAGTTTCATTAAAAAAAAAATGCATGTTCAAAAATGCAACAGGAGTAGGAACAATAATAACCTAACTGTAGCCCATTTTAAAAACTTGTCAGAAGTTAAGGCAATTGTGAAGCATTAATTGAATATTTCACTTACACCCTGTCTAGCTGATAACGATATGTAGCAATTTTTTGACTGTAAAAATGTAATGATTGGCAGAAGATATGAAAGTGGGTTACTTTCGGAAGAGATAATAAGCGAATCATATCCACGTGCTATTGCAGGCCAGGAATAAGACTGTACATGACTAGGTCCTTGGAATTGCTTTCTTAAAAGCTCCTTTCAGAAAAGAAACACAGAATAATTGGTTAGAATTAGATTTTGCTTGCAAGAAACAGAACAGAATAGAACACTTTATTTAACCAAGTGTAATTAGGCATACAGGAAATTTTCTCTGGTGCATGCAGCTCTCAATGAACTTGCAAAGCAATGAAGTAATAACAATCATAATAATGATACTACCTTTTTTAAAGCTGGAAACAGTGGTGCGGTTTCAAGAGATAAACACGGTTCAATTTTATTACTGAGCACAACAGGAAGACATGTAGTGATATTCAGCTTAGGCTCCTAAAAAGAAACCAATGAAAGACAAAAAGGCCATATGCAACTTTCTTAATGTTCAACCTGACACAAATGTTTTCTAGTTTGTTTATTTTATTTTTCTTCACAAAATAAACAAAAGCACCCATGAAGGCAAATATACATGTCCCAGGATAATTGGATCTTGCAACAAACTTCTAAGAATATGTATATCTGAAGCTTCAATGCCTTCATTAAAACATTTCTCATTTCAGAAAGAAATTAATTTGTTCACACAAATTAAAACATTAAAAGTTAAATCTACTTGTTGCTTCAATTACCTCAGTTTCTTGTCCGGTGGCAATTTTGAGAGGATCAGGGTTTAAAAACTGCAGAAGCCTGAAAACACACAAGTTGACTTTTCAAGTATCCGTTAAAAGTTCATTCATCCAGCCTTTGTTTTCCTCTAAGTTTTGCAAAGAGTTGAGGGCCAAATATAAAACGTCTTGCTGTTTTGGGTTGAAGGATTAACATTTCCTGGTTCATTTACTTAACAAATTTTGGCCCCAAGTCTCAGCAATCCAAATCCCAAATTAGACTGTTTCTTTTAAACTAATGTTAGATGTTATAAACAGATTTATTCCGCTATTAAAACACATCCAGTCTCCTGACAATGTAACTTTTTTTTGTTTACCACATTTAATTCCTTATATTAAAAAGTTTGTGGTAGGAACTGAACTGCTGTTTAGCAACAATGTATATTGTTTGAAATAAACAGGACATGGATCACCCCACGGCTTGAGGATTAACCCCAATATTCCAGTTTAGTATAATTTTCCAGTAGTTTAATAGTGGAAAAATATAACTAACAAAGGTATTGATCAACTCACTATTAAGAAGCATGTTTATTTATTTATTTTAACTGGTAAGCTTTCTATTTTTTTCATGGATAAATTTCACTACTTCTCTTTGATTTTGGAAAGGCTGAAGAAGCACTTGTATCCTTCTGGTTGCTTTTTGAGCCTCTCCAAGGAATAATTCAGAGAAAAAGGGGTACCTTTTTCCCAAGTGTAATGGAGTACAAAATATTGCTTTTCTGAAATTCAGGGAGCTCAATTTTTTTTTTGAAGCATGTCTTGTCATTGTGGTCAAGATTGTGCTGTTGTGGGAAAATTAAGAATTGCTGGCAATCACACATTTCAGCTAAATATTAAGGCCAGCTCAAATTAGAGTCTCCTAGTTTGTAATAACAAGACAACTTCGTTTTTCGAAAGTGGTGCAGGACCAACAGTGTCCTTTCCTGAAACACACAGAATCAGACCTATTTCAAGGAAGAGCTGCAAATGCGCCTGCCTGTTCTTTATAGAAAGCACATTAATTGCCTGGACTTCATAAATATTGGCTGTCATGATGAGAAAAAGCTTACTTCACCCCGAGGTTCTTTTCGTGGAGATCGTTCTCCTCTTCCTGGATTTTGGTACTTGTGTTAGGCAAGTTGCTAAAACGAAGCACAACTGTTTGAGAAAATCTTAGCAAGATCTGTAAACGTAACGGCCGAGAGATTGCACACAAGAATCAGGAATCTTTCTAAATTCTGAGAGTCTTATTCTCCCTGAAAAACAGCATGGGGAGAAGTGGGAACGTGTCCTCTGCTCACAGGGTTGGTTTTTTTTTTTTTTGGGGGGGGGGGGGGAATCCCAACTAATTATGAAAAATGCAAATAGAAACAGACCTGAGTATTTTATGGCTGCGGGGCCACATCTGGCCATTTGGTTGTCTGGACCATGTGAGGACAATTGGAAATTATAAACCAAATCCAGGAGCAGCCTCAGGAGGCGGCAGCAGCAGTCACTCTGTGACGGGATACGGGCTCGGCCACCCACCACCACCTTGGTTGAAGCAAGGCCTTGTGGGCGAGTGGGTGCCCACAGCTCTCCACAACAGCCCCAGTTACTCATTCATTTTGCTCTAGAATTTCAACCATTTTCTATGGGTTTTTAAAAAAAAGAAAATAGAATCTTACCAGTAATGAAATAGAAACGAAATACAAAAATTCAAAATATACCTGTCTGTTTGCATGTCTGTTGGCACAGAAAAAGTTATTCCTTGCTTCAAAGTGGAAACAGGTACCATTATATCCTAAGCAGGAAAATAAAGGAATCTTATATTTTTATTCAGGACTCTACAAACAGGGCCATGTCTATGTTTGTTAACTGAATGCATTTCACTACAGAATAAAAAGCAAGATACTTGGTATCATATTTCTCAAAGCAGCTAAATACTAGATATGTGCTATCATCTCCTGCATAACCTGTACATGTTTATTTAGAATAAACCATTCAAATTTTGAATGGACCTTCCCCCCACCCCCAGGTTTTGGATGTTTTAACAATCTAGCAATGCTTGAAATTTAAAAACCAAGAAGAAAAAATGATGTATTTAGTACTTACAGGCTGTTTTGTTTTATGTAAGTTAGTTTCTGGGAAATGTGTAAACTCTGCTTTCTCAGAATTATCACAAATAGGAGCAGCACCTAAAAGAAACGTACAAGGGACTTTTTACTAAAACACTTAAAATACATCTTCCGAAGGCCATGCCCTGGAAATAAAATAATAAAAAATAAAATTAAAAGTACAGTTTTCATTTATATAAGCACCCATCTCGCATAGGGACTCTTGGTGGGCTACCGCGGGTTAAAACAATGCAAAATATAGAATACAGCGCACTCTAGAACTCCCAATTTTGGTTTAGTAGTAAACGTTGGTCTAATTTAGCGTCCAATGAACCAAAGTATGCCTCTTCGTTTTTCCTCTCTTTTTGATTGGGAATAATTCACGACAGATACTCGAGTGCAGGGATGTCAAACTGGATTTCTTCAAGGGCTGGATCACCATTGTAGTTCTCCCCGCAAGCCGGCCAATGTGGATGGAGTGGAGACAGGATGAACACTTCCTGCAGCACCCTGTCGGCCAGAACGTGGCGTGTGGCAGCCGTATGAGGGCCACCATGCACCCCATTTTGGCTGGCAGGGTGCTGGAGGCCACCCAGGCATAAAACGGGGTGTGGGGTCCACCACGTGAGACTCCCTGCACCCCGTTTTGACTGCCAGAAGCACCGCAGGTCGGTCCTTTGCTATTTCCAGGCCAGATTTAAGCACCCGGTGGGCCGGATCCAGCCAGTGGGCTTTGAGTTTGACATCTCTTTTCTAGTGTAGGCTGTAAACATAGGGACAACTCCAAGCACCTGTCATTTATCTTTCTGTGTCTTGCTTTTTTTTTTTTTTTAACAACTCCGCAGCCAAACATTGCTGCAGCCAGGAAGAAATCAGCCACCTTCACCTGGTTTTCTGCAGCTTCTTCAGCCCTGAAAGGCACAGTGCCAGTGCCAGTTTCACCTCCCTGACTCATTGCCGTGCCAGTTTCATCCCTGCTACTGCATTCTAACCACAAAACATTGGAATAGCCTGCTAGCCCATTTCTCGTAGTTCGGCCATCCTGCATCTAGTGTGCAGGCAGAGTGTGTTCCAGAAGAGGCTTCATCTCAGCTGCTCTCACCATTGACCTACTTTTTTCGCTCAAAAAAAAGGCTGAAAGTCTGGGTGCGTCTTGTACACTGAATACACCATTTTTTGCCTACCGAAACTCCGCCCCCTTCACCAAAATGGCAGTGCAGAGCGTTTAGGAGCCTTGCAGAGTGCTCCTGGAGGCTGGGGAGGGCAGAAATGAATGAAAAATGGGCCATTTGTTTGCTCAATTCCCCCCCCCCCCGGAGCACTCTATAAGTCTTTAAAGACTATGCATGCAATTTTTTTTTTGACAAAATACAGGCCCGTTTTCACTAAAAAAAAAAGGCTGTTTTTTTGCTCATTGGGGGGGGGCACACCCCAGTAGCACTACAAGCCTCCTAAAGGTTATTCATGCCTTTTTTTTTTTTTTTTGAAAAACAATGGGCCCGTTTCCATGAAAAAATGGGCCATTTGTTTGCTCAATTCCCCCCCCCCCCGGAGCACTCTATAAGTCTTTAAAGACTATGCATGCAATTTTTTTTTTGACAAAATACAGGCCCGTTTTCACTAAAAAAAAAAGGCTGTTTTTTTGCTCATTGGGGGGGGGCACACCCCAGTAGCACTACAAGCCTCCTAAAGGTTATTCATGCCTTTTTTTTTTTTTTTTGAAAAACAATGGGCCCGTTTCCATGAAAAAATGGGCCATTTTTGGAAGGTCTGCAGAGTGCGAACACTTTTTAAACAAAATTTGCCTCTTCAAAACCTTGGTATACTCCAAAAAATATGGTATTACTTGAGGGACCGATTTCTCATGCTCACCCATTTCAGAAACCTTAGATTCTTGCAGTAACGTTGGCCACAGCAGCATTACAGGATTCTTCTCCTCTGAAAGACATTTGGCTCCTTCTGAACCTCGTTTCTGGTTTGTTTTACTGAGTTCATAGTAAGCAAAGTTCTTTGCAACAAGATCATCGTTCACACACACCTGGGACAAAAGCAATGTTTGGCATATGAAGGTTAAAGAGGAGGATAAATTAAAATACACCAGAGTTTTCAAGGATATATATTAGGAATGACATAATTAAGTAATGAGGCATCTCTAGCGTTTAAGGAGTTTTATCAAAATAGAAATATCACATTAAGAGCAGCAGAAATGGGCACTGCAATATTAATCTGAACTGTATTAATTGTCCTCTAGTTGTTTTAACAGCTGCGGGTCTCTGTATGAAGAACTTTGAAACAGATTTTTAGACCTCAATTCACAGAGCAACGATAATGTAATTCTATTCCAATACTGCAGCACAAACCTGACTATAAGCACAGAGTAGAAGGGTGAATTGTTTTCCACTCTGCTGCACAGGATTAACATGGCAAGCAAGCCAACACTCAATTAAAAAGATTGTATGTAATTTGTAAATATTACCTTTTCATCACTTATTGTGACATAAAGATAGACAGCAAAATTATCCTCTTCAACAGCACATAACTTGGCCTCCACTTGAGTGGCTGCTATGATTAAAATGAGGCTTATTAGATTACTATAGCAGTGTTGTTGTTGTTGTTGTTTTAAAATCAGTTCTTTATACTGGACAGTGACCAAAGTACAAGCAGTTCTCGATTTACAACCGACCTTTCATTAACAACCATTTGAAGTTATGATGGCATTGCAACAAGCGTTTTATGACTGGTCCTTGAAGTTCTGACTGTCACGGCGTTCCCGGGTTACTGATTGTGTTTCGGGAACTTGGCAACCCGCATGTACAGGCAGTCCTTGACTTACGACCACAATTGAGCCCAACATTTCTGTTGTTGAGTGGGTTTTGCCCCATTTTACGACCTTTCTTGCCACAGCTATCTGCAGTTTCACTGCAGTTCGTAAGTCAGTAACCTGGTAAAGTGAATCCGCCTTCCCCATTGACTTTGCTTGTCAGGAGGAGGCAAAAGGAGATCACATGACCTTGGGACACAGCAAAGGCCATCAGTATGAACCAGCTTCCCAGCAGCTGAATTTTGATCACATGATCATGGGGGCTCTGCAAAGGTCATAACTGTGAAAAACAGCCATTAAGTCACATTTTTCAGTGCAGTTGTAACTTTGAACAGTTACTAAATGAACTGCTATAAGTCAAACACTACCTCTACTTACAATGGCTGTAGGCCATGGGGACTGAGGAGGAGGGGGCAGTTTATGAGGTAATAATTTGTGTCCAAAATATATATTTGCTTGCTTATCTATGGAGATTTTCAGTCATCCAGGTCATAGTTGTCCCAAAGGTGTGGGTTTTTTTTCTCCAAGAAGCAACTGGACTTTCTGGTTTTTATTTGAAGGCGTTTCACTTCCCACCCAAGAAGCTTCTTCAGCTCTTCAGAAGAGAAGCAGCTTCTTGGATCAGAAGCGAAACATCTTCAAAGAAAAACCAGAAACTCCAGTTGCCTCTGGAAAAAGCATCTTTGGGACATTTCCTTGCTTAGATTTAAAAAGAGGAATGGATGTTGTTACAAAAATGAATTCTGTACAACTCTCAATTTACAAATATACGTCTCCTAAAGCCATTATTTCATGACAATTTTATAAAATAGACAATAAAATATGACAATATAAATTGTCATATAACTGAAATTATACAGGAGGCTATTCTAGGTGTTTTTTTTACCATTCAGGAGGTTTTGGAAATACTGGATAGCTGCAACATCCCATGTGTTAGCAGGCCTAGAAAGAAACACGAGGCTTTTTAAATGTATTATACTACAGCAAAATAAACAGGAAACATTCAAAACTTCGGCAAATGGCATTTGTACAAGCAGGTATGCAACAATAAAATTCTGTTGACTGTAAAGTTATTTTTTACTGGTTTATTTTCATCCCACCTTTATTATTTTTATAAACAATCAACGGCAGTAAAAATAACTAATACTCTTCCTCCTATTTTCCCCACAACCCCCACAACTCAACCCCACTAACCCCTTAGGAGAGTTTGGCTAAGAGAGAGGGACTGGCCCAAAGTCACCCAGCAGTTATGCAGAAAAGATCCTCTCTGAAGTTAGTGGAAGGACTTCTTAGAATATTTAACATCATCTTTCAGTCGCCATACTTACACTATCTCTGCATTGTCATTGTTATAGTTGACACGTAGTGTAAGTGGTTTGACGCAGTACAACCTAAACTTTGTAGCTCTATAAGGCAGTCTCATAAACGATTTTACGACCACACAGATCCTGAAAGAAAATAGATTTCACAACACACAAAGTTCTACCAATAATTTTCATAGATTTAGTGTTCAAAACTGCAGATTGTAACTTCTATTTACAAAACAGTGCTGCTGCTTTATAGCCAAAACCAGACAGTGACCTGAAAAATGAGCATAAACTTGTATTCTTCAAACCCTTCTGACAATCCAGTTCTGTTCTCATTTCTTAAATTTACAAACCAGTCAATCCAAGTTTTCTAAAAAAAAATCCTAGGCTTTAAATGAATCCAAAAATGTCCAACTATGCCTATATTAACTTATCAGCTGGATCAAACCAATACAGCAGGGCCATTGCCCATATCATTGGGCAGATAGGTAACAGTATGATCAAAATGTTTCAATTCTTGGTCCAATCCTTTGCTGGATGATTTTACAGATTATAAACACATACTTTTTAGTGTTCACAGGAACAGTTTTGGCATAGTCCACAAGGAAACATTCTGCAATGTAATAATCCGTATACGATATGATTGAATTAACAACAGCTCTGCACCAAGATTTCAGTTCCTCACAGTAAACAGCACAAACCTAAGAAAGATATATAAATAAATGTTAAATGTTATACAATCTATGTTGTTTTTTGATAAGATAATTGGCAAAGTAAATACATCTGTAATAGAATATGTGTCGGACATGTGTAATAGAATATCTACCAGACAGGAATTGGAGATTTCTATATTCTTCCACAGATATTTAAATTATTTATTTAAATCATCATCTTCCTAGTATTTTTCTACAAATGCAGTCTCTGCAAGTGTTGATCCATTGGTTGCAACAGAAATGGATTTACTGGCTAGTCATAGGACCTGATCCTGGGCTGAGAAAACATGAGTGTCCCAAAATCATTCAGCTGGCTTTCATACCAAAATCAATTATTTAAATATTATTCTAGCATAAGACTTTTGCAAAAGATATGCCTATTTCCTTCTTTTCTATCCAAGATTAAGACGGTACGATGCATTTTCTATTGTCATAAAAAGCAAATCTTACATCCTAATATTAACAAGCCTAACTTTAATATTTTCTTTCCCCCACCATAAGAAAAGCCCTTATCTTACCACCTCACTGTCATTACTATGATCGAAGATTCCAGAATTATTTGTCCAATATTTATTATTACAAATGCACTTGACACTGCAGGTTAAGTATTTTTGGAAGGCTTATTATCTTTAAACATATAAACAACATAAAGGAAGAAAGGAAGGAAGGAAGGAAGGAAGGAAGGAAGCTTTATTTTTCTCCCAGATATAGCCAAACAAATCAGATTGAGAAAATCACCTGTCCCTCTTCTAGTGCAAAGGGCTTGGCATCCACACATCGATAATGTTTGTTATAGAATTGATTCATTTCAGTCTGAAGTGTTTCATATTCCATTTCATTGTCTACAAATTTTCTGTCAATTATGTAGACCCAAAAGCAATCTGGATTTTCAATCTAGGTAAGTATGACAAAACCCATATTAAAATATATTCACATAGCCCCAAATGTATTTTTTAATATACGGAATGTTAATCACAATACCTTCAGTATTATGACTTCTATCATTTTTTCCCTCCAATGATTTTTTTCATCTAAGGAGAATTGCAAGCTTTACCAGCACTTCTGAAAAGGCAACAGATCATCAATCAAACTTTCACCAAATGAAAATATTGCTGAAGTAATTTTGAAGCTGAAATGACCAAGACACAATTTTAGAAAATGCATAAGATACATAAAATTTCAATAAGTCTTGAAAAAAGTGACGAAGAGAAACTAGAATAATTTCAACAGTTCTGCTGGTAGGGGCCTCTAAATCTATTTGATATAAACTCAAACAGGGCACCTGAAGCTGGCCTTAACCAATGGCCTCCAACCTTTTGGGCATCAGGGATCCGTTCCGTGGAGGGGACATGATTTCATATGCTGCCTGCATCCTACCGATGGAGCTTCACTTGTTTGTGCGGCCCAGTTTCTTGCATGCCGTGGACGGGTGGTGGTTCATTGCGCGAGGGTTGGGGACCCCTGGTGTAAACCACTACATACAGTGGGTTTGCTCATACCTCATTCTCATACATACAGTGGGTTTGCTCATACCTCATTCTAAGCTAACACCTCTCCCCCTCAAAAGCACATTATGACTTAACATAATAAACCAAGCCATTTGGCTATTAGCCATGATTTACAGTTTGGTTTGAAATTACAAGGGCATTTGCAATTTATTTTGCAAGACATGATTAACAAAATAATGGTTTGAAATTACAATCTAATTCTGATTTATTCTGCAAGGCATATTAAGAAAATAATGGTTTAACAGATACAAAAACTGCCAATAAAATAAATGTGAGCATCTATTGACAGAATTGCAACATAAATTGTAACTCTTGTCTTGTCAGCAGTGCAAACGGATTTCTCAATTTGAGCCTGTGTTTCCTAGGTGGGCAACTTGTAGTCCCAGATTCCTTTTACGCTAGACCAGCCTTTAATCACACCTGCTAAAAGCCAGCTGCACCCTTTTCTACCATTTTGAAATGAGGTGTTTTTTTTAAAATCAATCTTGTAGCATTTATCACTGCAAATGCAGCTCCCCCAATTCTGTGTTAAATAAAAAGTGTTCACTTCACAATACTGTTCAGCTGGCCCCGGCAGCTCTCCCCCCTCCAGATAGATACAGCTCTTCCCAATTTTTTAAGCTGCCTTTTTTCTTTCCAAGAACTTCATTTCCCCATTTCACTTACAGCTGTTCAGATTTGGGGTGTGTGTGGGGAAAAGTGCTATCCAGAAATGGCACCAGGGGAACTTTCCAGAGAATCCAGAACAGAGGGCTAATTGGAAAATCAGGGAAATAAAATATTTTTAAAAATGGAATGAAATTACAATAAAACAAAGGAACCCAGGGAATCCAAAGGAGGCAGCTAGCGGGAAATCAAGAAAAAATAAATTTAAAGTAAAGGCAAAATTTAAATTAAGTCAAAAAGCCAAGTTACTTCCAATTGGATGGTTCCCACATTTTAACAATTAAAACAAGTAAATGCCACCAAGCATGTAGGATTTAGGTTTCTTTAGGACTCTTTAGAGACGGATTTTTAAAAAATCTTTTTTCCATCTTGCTTCCTCAATTGTAAAATCAGGGAAATATTTTTAAAAATGGGAGCGAAATGACAATAAAGCAAAGGAACACCCGGGGAATCCAGAGCAGGCAGCTAAGTGGGAAATCAAGAAAAATAAATTAAAGGCAAAATTTAAATGAAAAGGCAAGAAGCCAAGTTACTCCCTTCCCAAGAGTGAGGCCAATTGGAGGGCACCCACATTTAAACAATTAAACAAGCAAACGGCACCAAGCATGTAGGAAATAGGTGTTTACAACTCTTTAAAATCATGGTTTTAATACGACGGAGACTGATTTTGGGTTTTTAAATCCTTTATCTAAGACGAGAACCTCGCAGGGCTGAAGACCAACCGACACACAAATTGTATTATTATCATTATTGCCTTTCCACCCACCATCATCATTAATCCCCCCCCCCCCCAAAGCAAGCGCAGCCTAGACGCTGGCTTTTAACCTAAGAGGGCTCCTCCCATTTGGGGAGGACGAGGGCGACTTGCTGGGAGACAACGGCCAAGGCCTGAGGCCTCCCGTCCCGCCGCCCGACCCTCCGCGCCTTCCTCGGCTACTCCCTCCGCCCGCCTCCCTGCACGAGGCTCCCGCCAAAGGCGCCATTCGAACCCACCCGCGCATGCTCACTTGCGCCCTCCGTGCCGACGCGGCCTGACGCACGCCCACTTACCCCGCCTTGCCTCCTTAAAGGCGTGTGGACGGCGTGTTACGCATGCGCCAGCATCCTCCCCAGTTCTGCCTTCGGGTGTGGGCCGGCGCGCGGTCCGTCTGCGCAGAACCGGAAGTTTTATTTCTATTTATTTATCTTTTTATTTCTCAAAGGAAAAAAAAAAGACTGGTTCCTGCCGTTATAAATAAAATACGTAGCAAAAAGTGATGTGAAGGAAAACATACATCTTATGCGTAGGAAGACACATGTGTACTAAAGATAAAATGCCCTTTTATATAGACATGGCAGGACAAGAAAGGATGGATGGAAACTAACTAAAGAGAGAAGGAACCTGGAATTAAGGAGAAACTTCCTAACAGTGAAAACAATTAAACAGTGGAACAGCTTGCCACCAGAAATTGTGGGCGACCAGCTTGCCTACTGTCCCTGTCCTACTGTCTCCATTTATTCGTACCCATTTACTGGGTTCATACTTAAGTTTATACTTACACCTGTTATCTTTTACATGTTTGACAACTAAATAAAAATAAATTCGCATTATAGGTTCTCCTGCTTGAGCAAGGGGCTGGACTAGAAGACCTCCAAGATCCCTTCCAGAGTCTATTCTGTTCTAGTCTAGAATTCATTGTAGGTAGTTATAGATAAAGAAATGTCTGTTTTAAGCATGTGAAAAGAAGGAAGGATTGCACAGGAGGAAGATGTTCATATGATTGACTAGGAAGGATTGTAATAAGCTAACATATTCCATTCTATTAAAATTAATTTAACAAATCTTTAAAAAAAACATAAAAAGGGAGACAGGAGCAGCCCATTGCAGCTACAACCCAAAGTTACTTGACAACCATGGGTTAAATAAATATATGTTTTTGGGCTCCATTGATTGTCAGGCATTTTTTGTTGGATTTCTGTTTGTTATTGGATTCCCCTGTTTTATTGGATACATTGGGCACTAACTATGGGAAAAGAAGTCATCAGATCTTTTAGATACATACTACTAAGAAACATTGCCAATGTTTTATGGCCCTGGGTGTAATGATTGTCTTGCACAGTCTGCGTTTCCACCCCGATATATTTAGAAAATAAAAATCCAGTTAGTTCCAGTTAGTATTTGAGGAGAAATGACCATTTGTGGGACAATTCATTTAGCAATAATAAAACCACCATTAAAAAATACTGCTTACAAGTGTTTATTTTTAACAGACACTCGTTAGAGTTATATAACAGTTAATGTAAAGGCACAACTGGTGACATTTAAAAAAAAAAAACAGAGGTCCAGGCCTACAGTGGACTTTATTCCTTGGATAGTCAGTATAAACAAGTTAATCTAAATACAGTGCTTCCTAGAAGTAGTTCTGAATATAGGCATTTACAATCTGCAATGCACTTATTTTGAATACGATTCCCAGACAGAGAGAAATATACTGTTACGTACATTTAAAGTGTTCAGTTTTTTTTCCAATTTTGGCAAATGACCTATCGGTCAACAGGAGCATCTGCAGAAATGGTCACTGCCTTTAAAACACCAGATGCACACCTTTTAATGTGTGTTGCATGTAGTAAATGCATATTGAAAAGCTTCAATCATTAGGTAATAGCCACTATTCTGAAATCAACATCAAGGCAAGCCATCACTGCCATGACTCAAATCCATGTACTTGGATGGATGGCTATTTATCATTTATGATCATTGTAATAATAATTCAAATATGTATGTTAAAACATAATGTGATAGTCTTTTGTTTACAGTACTGAATGATTGTCATTCAGTTGCAAATTACCTTGACTCTTTTTAAGGATATGTCAGTATAGCTATAACGTACAAAGTAAACTTAGTACTTAAACTTAAAACTTAGAAGATAGACCTCTATTCCAGAATTGGCATATTTGCATAACAAGAATAATAACATTGATCAACACAACTTGAACCTGAAATACTTTACATAAATATGATATTGAGGTAGGTCCATGAAATGGCACAGTGCTATTAATTCATTTTTATTAAAACATCTCTCAAAATTTAGTGATTCCAGTATGAGAAACGCTACAACTGAACTGTTACAATCTGCATTATTTCACATTTTAGAGTCCAGTCTAACTGGATTTATATGTTTATATTTTGATTCAATATTCATGTGGATAGTTACATTATTACGGCTTCGTGTTACTATACGATGAAGGTTTCTGGCCTCCTTCATTAGTTCTTCAATCTTTTTATTTGTTGTCAACACAGATTTCTTTTCGCCAGTAAAATCGGGATCTTTTGGATATAAATCGTCACCTAAAATATAATTATTTCTCTCGGTTAACATTCATAATTACAGGTATAAATGTGAATTTTTGATACTGACAATACCTTCAGTCTATAAACAGTGGTATGAAAAGTTGTGGCAAAATATGGATTAGGAGACACTATTTTTAATAAGGTTTTTGTCTCCACATACCAAGAGCGGAAGTATTAAAATAGAGACACACAGGAAGATATGAATGCAATCAAGTTGTACTTTTTATTTACTCGGTTCATAAATATGTTACGCAATGATCTAAGATTTACAAACCTTGATTACTGCTTTCACAGTACACAGCACTTCTACAGCCAAGTATGTAACATTATAGCGGAGTATACTGTATGTTCCATATAACAGAAGATTAATGAATATCTGCCAATTAATCCTGCTAAGTGTACTAGGTGAAATTTAAATCAGGAAATTTTAATTTCATTATTTAGCTTTTGCCCTAAGCAGTCCACTTTTTGGAGTATGGCCCCCAGCAACCCACTTATTCAGATAGAGAGATTCATGTTGCCTCTTCTGTTTAGTGTTCAGTGCATCATTAAACCCGTGTTTTACTTTTTTTTAAAGGCCAATCCTTCATTTTTACCTACCTGGCAACACTTGTATGTGGCCATCTGAAGCCATCAACACAACTGACATCCAGCGTTCACAACCTTCTAAAGCTCGCTCTGAGCTAAATTTCTCCAGATCATGAAGGGATGAAAAATGGCACAGCCTACATAGCTCATAAAGCTGAGGTGGTGCTATCCAGATTTCTCCAGAGTTAAAAAGTTTGACAGCTTCTAAAGGGGTGGACCACTGAAAAAGTACAAAGCATTAAAATCAATCTCCAAGCCATGTAATTTCCCAATTACAGGGATACTCTGTAGAACGGATTCTGGTGCTTTCAGTGACTATTTTATTCTATATTAGTATTTATTTTTAGCTTTTTTTATTAGGTGTCAGTCTGATAGTGGATGCTATATATGTCAACTGGCAAGTTCAGAAATACATTGTTTTAAATATTATTTGAAGCTCTACCTGACTCCGTTGCTACAACCTCAAACCCCCACAGCTTCAACCTTAAACTGTCTACCTTGGGCCTCACCCCATTCCTAAGAGGTCCGTAAAGGAAGCGTGCATAAGCGCACCAGCGTGCCTTCCGTCCCTGTCCTACTGTCCCCATTTACTTGTACTCATTTCCTTTCCTGGGAACTTGAGAGACCGCCTGCTGCCAATTACCTCCAACAGACCGATTAGATCCCACAGATTA